CAGCCGATATTTTCGTAACAAGCACATTCTGCTGACTTCTGGCGTCCTTCTTCACTGACGCGGTGGCGCGGAGCGTAGTCAAACGGCGTAGATACGACGAATATTAGCTACATAACAAATCTACACAATATGTAACTTCGACAGAAGGAAATTCAATTACGGCTTGGCTATCCGTTATAGCTGTTACAAACACAAGGGTAATAGTTAGTGCTTACACTTACGCAGAGTATCTTCAACAGGTGATAATTCTTGGTGAAACTTATTATCTCATATCATAAAACTGTAAGTCATAATAACTATTTACTTGCTAAGTTGATTCCATAAAATAAAAATCTAAATATGGATCCCCATATTCAATTAAATGCAATACTAATACTGGACTTTTTACTGATATATCTTTATCATAATTTATGAGTTTCATGACGCATAAATAGACGTTTTTCATTGAAGTGATATATAAGATAATTACGCTAAACTTAACAGGGACATTTTACGTTTTAAGTAGTTAAGAGAAGTAAAAACTAGGGACGAGCGTCTAGCATGTATCTTTGTCCGGATAGTTATCATCAAAGGCAGTACTTTCTTTGTGTCTGGTTCAAATAGATTGGTTCATTGCCCACATACTGGGTAGCTGTGTGTAAAGAGGATCGAAGCAAGCATTTAGTGCTGAAGATGATTCGGCTAAGCGCCGGAGGCAGCGGTGGGCGGCGGGTGTCCGCAGTCGGCACGGCACTCTAACTTTATTAAGGATGAGACGCCGTCTGAATCAAGGTGACGCCGCCTTCACAATGCCCTATTCAGATTTAAATAGCTTTACGCCCAATTGCGCTTCAATGTGCTGTTAGAGCTCTATGATAGCTATATCACTAAATCATTTTAAAATATGTATCTAAATTATAAATAGATAAGTAATTTAATGATTTTTAAGAATTCATAATATTTGAAACCTGATCTTTTAACAGAAGATACCTATAAAACAAATATCCCCAAATTATTAAAATTACCAAGTCGAATGAATAAACTACAACAAACTGAATTTATAATGTACAACAAAAATATATTTTGTGCATTATGTGGTTACGGCTGACAAGCAGTTTCCAGTAAAGGCATCTAACACACGCGTTACCATGAGAACAATGGCATGCGACAAGTGGAGGAGTGCGGATGACTTGGGTTCCAACAAAGTTTGGCAATTATGGCGACCGCATGTCTGAGAGCGATGCTACACTCATTACCGACTGAAACCCGCCTCGTCTAGATTAAAAGTCCGAGAGACACCGACCCCAGAAATACCTCGACCGCCTTCCATTACGAAACTTAAATATTTATGAACGACATAAACAGTTAAATAAGGATTCTCGAGTCCAGATTCTTAGTAAAACCGTTAACTCTGTTATTCAGATCTCGTTACACGAAGAAAACGTATCGTTTAAAGAAATCGATCGATACCTCGTTAAATTAACAAGTTGAGGTAACAGAACGGTAATTTTCGTAACTAGCAAGCTCTAGTCGCTATTTCTCTCGGTGTTCCAAGACACCGACTGAACAAACACCGCAGTTGCTACTTCTCCAACAATCTAAGTGTTGTCTCGTTTAACTACTAAAGTATGATAATGTAGTTATACCCATAGAATATGTTACGTGGCTTATTATAATACTACCTCAATAAGAATACTAGATGAAGGATAAGTTTTGGTTAGCCAGAGACATCACAAAAATAATGTAATTACTATGACAATATTTTATATTGTATTGTATTGTAAGTACATAAAAATTAAATTCAAGTTAATTTTCAGTTTTTAGAAGACTATGAAAAAAAATCAAGTAATTTGCACGTACAATTAGAAAATTTAAGTACTTCAATAACTACTTTACCCGGTAGGCGGAACTACAGTCGGGTTTAAGATTTTTTTTTTTTATTGGGCAAGATAAGCGTCTTTTATTATTTTCGATAAACTCACATAACTTGATTATTCAATTAGTAGAGATCGCGACTTTCATAAAAGTAATGGCAAATATTGCACACCCTACTAGAAACCTTAAGTTATTAGTCCTTACCAACAAAAGTATAAGAAGACCAAAAATATGTGTAACTGTCTTATTGTTTTATTTTTGCTATCGGAATGTTACTTTCGCAGACGGGCTCTTCAATTCGTGAGTAAATTCGCTGAGCACAACCTTTCTTAAAAAAGTCACCATTAAAAACTTATTTGTGTATATTGTACATTATTATTACATTTCATTTACTCCGTAACAATCCGTAATTTGATTTCGATTTCAAATTCCCTGAATAAAATATGGACAGACCCCGTGATCAGATACTTCTCAATTTTAAAATCTCAAGATGCTGTTATCATTTTTAATGTGAAAAATTATTAAATTTGTGAGGCAATGAATCATGCTATAACGTCTGAATTAAAATTGGTCAGGCATTGAATTATAGACTGGACGGAACAAAGGATCCTTTCATTTGGGAAAATGAATAGTTTTACGAGATTCATGAGCAAATGTGTGTAGCTGCGGGCTCACTATTTAATAGCAAACTTAAATACGTTTAAAATATAATTTATTTAAACAGTAACTACAAAAACCGTGTAAATATGTTAAAAAAAGTTCTTGTTGTTAGGGTTAGAAAATAATGGTTTTGTTTTTTTTTATATTTGAATTGACTGAATGAAAGGTAAATTGCGGTTTACGATTTATGACGTATTAAAAAAACTAAATCTCGCTCAAAGCAATTTACGGTGGAAGTTTGCATAAAAATATAATGTACATTATATATTTTTTAAAAAACTATCTATAGAGCGCACACATATGCGTTTGATGTTTTTTTTTATTTTTTTTTAATCTTCTAAGTATGGGGAACCCCCAAAATTTGCGGTTCATTCAGTAGGTCTTACTTACCATGTTTCAACAGTATAGTTCTCAAAGTTTCGGAAAAAAGTGGCTGTGACATACAGACATGCGGACAGACAGACAGACAGACATGACGAATCCATAAGGGTTCCGTTTTTTGCCATTTGGCTACGGAACCCTAAAAAGGCAAACACATGTTTAATTTTTCCTGAGTTAGATCATAACTTGTTTCAACAAAAAAATGGCTTAAGCTTAGTAATATTATTTACACAAATTTGTTTTTGAGGGTATTTCACATTAAATGTTACCTTGGCATCATTTCCAGGCTGAAATTCTGAAAAACATTGAGTTTCTATCTGCAGTAATACTACACGGTAAGTAGTATATAGCAAAGTTAAAGATCTTTGTAGCAAGAAAGTGATACAGTGAAAAGAAAAGAGCAGATCGTAAGCCTATACTCAAAGTCCTACAGAACCTTTTCCGACATCTGCCAGTGAGTTTATCTTGTTTTCAAAAATGCCGATAAGAGGTTCATGAAGAGATATCGACCAATTATTTTTATAACTAGGTGGCCAAATAGCTTCACGCCACCTAATGTTAAGTGGTGCTAGTGATTTGATGACTCGTATTTTGTCATACTATTCGTAATCGCAAGAAATAATCGCATTAAAGCAATCAAGAACAACTATACGCAAAAATCAGCTATCGCCGAACATTTGATTGATTCTGGTCCTAACCAGTAGATTAAGTTCCATAACCCTCAGAGTATCTCGACTGAACTCCACTAGATACCAAGATTGGTCAGGGAAGTGATTGAAATAACGAAACATAAATCGTCGGGACTGGTTTAAATTGTCTAGTCTCTGGAATCCTGTATGTGCAAAAACCGGAATAATGTATATAACCGGAATAATAACAAAAAAGTGTCGTGTCGCGATCCGATACTGTGAGTGCTGTGTGTCGAGAATAGTTTCGAGTAAATAGTGAGATTGTTGTATCGTCTATAGGCTATGGTGGCCGCTAACAATCAGGCGGGCCATATGCTTCTTTGCCACCCGTTTAACATAAAAAAGCCAAGATCATACTAAATCTTGTGATGTCAGAGATGGCGGTACCCTAAGGATCATACCGGTCTTTATACAGCTTTATTTAAATGAACGTCAAGTTGTTCAAATTCAAAAAGGGGAAATTATAATTTTACAGGTTTAATCGATAAATGAATGAGTCATCATTCAAAAGCGGAATATCGATACTAATAAAATTCAAAACATTAAGAACAAAGAAAAACAAACGGACACTGACGCGTAAGAAGACATTAACAATAAGGTACAAAAAGTATCGCATTTTCGCTGAACTGCCAAAACACCTTAGTAATCAGGTTATGACCAAACGTCAAATATCAATTTGAGTACTGTAAAATCACTTTTTTGCGTTGTCCACCTATTCGAAGGGTGCCTAGCAGGAGGTGGTTATATTTTGTAGGAAGTAGCACGTTACAATGCTTTTATAATTATATCTTTCACATGTTGAGACAAAACTAATTGTTTTCCTTTTATTGTCGCTTGTGGTAAGCGATGTCAGCACCGGCCCCGGCAGCAGTGGCTGCGCGGTATTTTCTACTTCCTTAATTACAGTTTGCCTAGCCCCAAAGTAAGCACTGTAAGGCTTGTGTTATGGGATACTAGGGGTAATGGAATGAATACATATACTGTACATATATATTTATATATAAATACATATTAAACATTCATGACTGGAGCACAAATGCTCGTATTCATCACACAAACATCTGCCCCACCGGGATTCGAACCCGGGACCTCTCGAGTTGGCGACAGCCATGAAACCCGGCGTACAAACCACTCGGCCACGGAGGTCATCAATTTGTCGTTCATATGCTGGCTTAGAATAGTTCCGCCCCTCTCGTCTTATGACTCGTCACTAAGAGCGTACAGCCAGCAGAAGGAGCATCTTCTACAATTTTTTTGGCTCAACTACGCTAGCTAACCTGCCTGGCAAGCAAGAGCAGGGCGATCTTCAACAAGACGTAGCCAGAAGAACGTCAGTGGCATCATCCAGCGATGCCTACGACAAGTTGTTTGCGGAAACCCGCTGCACACAGTAGGAACGCATGACAGCGGAGCAGCTCAAGGAGAGGCCAAACGGAGCTGAAGAAGATTAGGGAGACTAAGATCAAACATGTGAGGGGCATATGACACAAGGCGCTGATTGACGCAGCTAACGTTGTCGACGAAGTGGTCTACATCCTCGCCGCTCGCACGACCACGGAGAAAGTTCTGAGGCTTAGGGCTGATAATGAACACCTAAAACAGGAACTTGAGGCCGTTAAGGAGGCACAAACACGACGACCAACGGCAACGAAGCAGTCGACTTTGAGTGAGGATGCAGTCGAGGAGCTGAAACGCTCTTTTATGATATCGATAGGGGAGATGGTCAGCACTCGGCTGGCATCGCTAGAGGAGAGGCTGTCCCCTCGGGAGCGCATCCGCCCGCCGCCGGCAGCGGACAGAAAGAGAGACACTACGGACACGGCGCCTTAACCAGCTTCAGAGACTTGGACTGACGTCACGCGCAAAAAAAAGGGGAAAAAGAGAAAAGAATCCCCGATGCAAGGAAAAGGGAAGCGTGCGACCACGCATGCCCCACTTCCAAAGGGCGAACGGCGAAGACTCGGGAGAAAACTGAGAAGAAGCTGAAACTGAGGGTTCCATCTACAGCGGCGATGATGCTGAGGCTTAAAGCCGGAGGTATCTAAGGAGGAAAAGACTTACTTGGAAGCTATCAACAGGGCAAGAAAGGCAATCTCCCTGCCTGCTCTTGGAATACCGGGTGGACTTACGATCAAGGACAGCCAAACAGACACCAAACTCCTGTTAGTGTCTGGTCCAGACGCGGGAGCGAAAGCGGATGCACTTGCAGCACGCATGGTGGAAACAGTAGCTGATATTGTCGAGGTTAGCCGGCCGGAGAAATGCGTGAATGTACGCATCTCATCTCAAATCATCCGCCCTGGACGAATCAGTTTAGAAAGAGGAGGTTGCGCAAGCGATAGCGGAAAGGGGCGGTTGATTTGTGCAAAATGGTATGGTATATGGTTGGTGGTAAATAAAACAATGATATTCTCAGCCAAGTTAGGTCAGGGGCTAGGACTTTTAATTAAAAATTCCAGTGATGAAAACATTATAAATATATGTACTCCTGGAAAATCATTTCATGAAATTGTAAATAACTTGGCCCACCATAATGTGGATAGTTATACTAACCTACTGTTTTTGTGTGGTGACAGTTCCAGATTGTCAATACGAGACATTACAAAAAGTGTTGAGAACTTATTGAAAATTCAAACTGAATCTAATTGGAAAATAATAATTAGCGCTTTCCCATATGCACATAACTTATCTAGGGAACAGAACAAGCGCATCTTTAATTTAAATTTAAGTCTATATAATTTAATTAATAGTCATAGTGACGTATTTTTATATTTTGATATAAATAAATATATTAGATATTTTAAGTTGACTACAGATACTATGTATCTCGCAAAGTTTAGGACTCAGATAGCTAATTTGTTAGCTTTTAATATAAAAAATACGGTTATAACTAACTCTATTCGACAAAATAGTGTTAGTTATAACCGTAACTCTATTAATAGCTTAACTGTGATGGAGGATGTACTGAAAAAGTTAAAGTCAAAAAATAAGTTTTTGGTTGTTTGCGGTGACTTTAATATTAATATTCTTGAACAAAATTCAATGTCAATACGTATAATATCATTATTTAAATGTTTTAATTTGATCCATCAATTTTTTGCATTCAGCAACTTGTTTGGATAACGTATTTACAGATAGTAAGTCCATTTTTAATAGTATTACATCTGACCATTATGGCTTAAAAATACAATACAAAATAGATGTAACAATTAAATAAATAAATAATAAATAAATATTTCCGACACTCACACCAATTAGCCTAGCCCCAAAGTAAGCACTATAAGGCTTGTGTTATGGGATGCTAGGGTAACGGATAGAATACATATACTGTACATATATAAGTATATTTATATAAATACATATTAAACATCCATGACTGGAGTACAAATGCTCGTATTCATCACACAAACATCTGCCCCCACTGGGATTCGAACCCGGGACCTCTCGAGTCGGCGACAGCCATGAAACCCGGCGTACAAACCACTCGGCCACGGAGGTCGTCAAAATTAGTTTGTTTGTTAATTGAATCTAAAGTGATTGAATTGAGACCAGTAACAGAAAACTGGTTAGAAAATTTTCAAAAAAACATTGATTATAGGATTTCTCATATCCCATGGACAGATGATGATCCTGATATTCTTTTTGGGGATCATTTTAATCTAATAAGAAATGAATTTGATAAGGCTTTTCCCTTAAAAACTTCGAAACTTACTCAGAAGTTACAGTTCTGTGACTGAGCTACGACTGGTATCTATAAAAGTAGAAACAAACTTTATGAATTGTATCATCTAAGAAAATATAATCATATTGATTACGTTAAATGTTATTCTAAAACCATCAAAAAGTTATGTGCAACAGCCAAGTCTAATTTTATTAAAAATGAAATATGTAAATCGAATAATAAAATCAAAACAACGTGGAATGTTATAAATCGTGAAACAGGCAATGATATTGTTGAACTTAAGTCGAATAACATTCTAATAAAATCTAAAGAACATATCGCTAATATTTTTGATGAATATTTCGTTAATATTCCTATGGTGGCTACATCTAATTTGAGTTCTTCATCGGTGGCTGCCAAGACATTGCTCGAGAAATATGTACCTAAGTGTGATAACGTGTTTCAGTTCAGACATATTAATTTTATTGATGTTAGTGTTTTAAATCTCTTAAACAAAAAAATACAAGTAATTTATGGGGCATTTCTACTAAAGTTATTAAAAGTATAATACCCGTTATTGCGCCTTATCTAGTTGATATATTTAATAACTGTATTGATCAAGGAGTATTTCCGGATTTAATGAAATACAGTAAAGTTACACCTCTTTTTAAATCAGGAAATAGAAATGACCCTGGAAACTATAGGCCTATATTAATATTACCGGTTCTTAGTAAAATATTTGAAAGAATTATTCTGGAACAATTGATGCCTCATTTCAACCTTAATAAACTTTTGTATAGGAAACAATTTGGTTTTACTAGAGGTAGATCTACTACTGATGCGGTTGTTGCACTTATAAGGAGTATATTGGAGGCTTGGGAGAGGCCGCAGAATGTCCTTGGAGTGTTCTGCGACTTATCCAAAGCTTTTGATTGCGTTGATCATCACACGCTGTTATTGAAATTGAGTCATTATGGAGTCAAAGGTACTGCATATAAATTGATACAGTCGTACCTCAGTTCCAGAATACAAACTGTAGAGGTAAATGGTGTTAGATCATCTGGATCTCATGTGGAAATGGGCGTTCCCCAGGGTTCAATTTTAGGTCCCTTCCTGTTTCTAGTATATGTAAATAATTTGCCATTTTTTGTGGAAAATTTGTGTGAGATTGTATTATTTGCTGATGAAAAACAACTATGACGATGTGAATAATGCTTTCTCGCAAGTTCTGCAATGGTTTAATGTCAATAATCTAAAGCTAAATGCTAATAAAACCAAGTGTATTAAACTTTCCTTACCTAATGTAAAAGTTGAGCAAATCGGAATTAAATTAAATAATTAAAAATTTGATTTAGTAGACTCGACTACATTCTTGGGTATAACGATAGACTCAAAACTGCAATGGAGTCATCACATTACGCTTTAGGCTGGTAAACTTAGTTCAGCAGCTTATGCCATAAGAAAGATAAGACAACTTACTGATATAGATACTGCCAGGACTGTATATTTAAGTTACTTTCATAGTATCTTACCATACGGCATTTTACTCTGGGGAACAGCAGCTGATATTGAAAGTATATTCATTTTACAAAAAAGAGCTGTGAGATCTATTTATCAATTGAGTAGCCGAACATCTCTTAGAGAAAAATTTAAAGAAATTGGTATTTTGACTGTTGCTTCTCAATTCATTTACAATTGCATACTCCACGTTAAAAATAATATCAATTTGTATACCAAACACAGTAACGTGCACAATTTTAACACAAGGAACAGAAACAAGCTTGCATTGCCACCCTACTGGTAACAGAAGAAGGTTTACCGATCTTTTATGGGTCAAGGTATACATTTTTACTATAAAATTCCTGATGCTGTTCTTGAGTTACAAATAAATGAGTTCAAATGTCACATTAAAAGTTGTTTACTTAGGAAAGGCTATTATACTATTAAAGAATACTTGAATGACAAAACTGCATAGCTGTAACTATAAAATTATTTTGTATTTGTTTGTAGTGTCGTACAGATAAATTACCTTAACTCTAAGTAACTATTTTGCAGTTTGGTTTGAGTGGTTATGGGTAGTCATGCTCTCTTAAAAATCTCTTCGGCGGTGTCGTGTGAGGCGGGTCGTTGCGTTCCCTAAAATATGGTTAAGCGAAGCGATGGCTGGTTCATGCGTCATGCTCGTGAACGGGTGCTGCCAGCGGAGATGAGTCTGCTCTATACTACTTTATTATTGTAATGATAATTATTATTAAATTTAGATTGTATTTTACATTACACAACTTGTATTTATACTGTATGACACAGCAATCAAAATGTAAGTGAACATTTATTATTTCTCTGATAAAGATTTAATGGCGGTGTGGATTCTGGTATGGTTTTCTAGCCCTGAACTTGGTTTTGCAGCGGTGTATCCTTGTCATTCTCTATACAGACTGAAAAGAGGGGACTGATGTTGGATTTGGTTTTGGGTTGGTAGAGTAGTGCCAGAATCAGCAAAAGTGTTTAGGTAATCACATGCATGTGCAGGACACATTGTGTTTATAGTTTGTTATAATAATGTACACTGGTACTTATGTATTTTTTTTCTAATTTTGTAACAAGGTATTCATGTGTGGTTATGAGTAGTCATGCTCTCTTAAAAATCTCTTATGTGGTGTCGTGTGAGGCGGGTCGTTGCGATCCCTAAAAAATGGTTGAGCGCAGCGATGGCTGGTTCATGCGTCATGCTCGTGAACGGGTGCTGCCAGCGGAGATGAGTCTGCTCTTAATTCACTGGGTACTAAACTAAATCGTTGTACTAAACTTTAATCGTTCAACATTTTTTTTTTGCCTAAACAGTAGGACACGTCATTCCTAAACTTTGTTAAACCAGTTTTTTATATATTTTTTTTATTATATAGTCATAATTTTTATATTATTTGCATTTTTTGTTTGTTTGTAATGGAAAGTGACTTTATGAGTTACCTCATATTGAAGTCATTTCTCAATTTTTTATACAGAGTCTGTATATAATACAGGGAGAAAAAGCAGCCCTAGCTGAGTTTCTTGCCGGTTGTTCTCAGTACAAGGTCTCCCGCCGTAGATTTGCGAACCTATGGCGTAGCTTTTCGACATTCACAAGTGCTTGTAACAGCCTAGACTGAATAAACGATATTGAAGTTTGAAAAGGTGAGGGTGCAAAACATACGTAAAAAGTGTATATTCATCATTCTGTTGTGTATTTCAGTAAAAATAACCAAATCAAAAACGCCATTTTCAAGTTGCCGCGAAAACGTTTCTCTGGGCAATATGGCGTACTACTAGTGACGGCTTACTAGTGTGTGACTTCACACGACTGTTATTAAAACGTCAAACGATTCAATGTAATGTCAGTCTAACCGGAAGTTTACTTGCGTGTGACGTCATTCTAGGCTCCGCCAATCCCAAGCGTTTTGGGTCACGTGACAATAGATGAGTAAACTATTGTCTTTTTCGTTAGTTTTTAGTAAAATTATGAATATTTTTTTGTAAAAATAGTAAAAACCCCTGCCAATATTCATTCTAAACACAGATGCTAACAATTGGCACTTTATTTTTAACACTGTCAAATACCCTACTTACGTTGCTAAGAAAGCTTCCGCACGCCCTCCTGACACATATGCCAGAGACCGAGGTTCTCGGGATATGTATCAGGTGAAAGGTGCAGGAATATTTTCTGGTTTTACTGGGTAGGGCTTTCCTCATTTCGCCGAGCCTTTGGGGCTGGGTGAAATGAGCCGAGGAGGAGTCACAGATACCTTTTGCAGAAATGAAAAAAAAAAGTTTATCACTTTTCACACCTATGTAATAAACGAAGAGAGCATTTCATTCACTGACCCGAGGACTAGGGTGGACGCCCAGTTTCAGAAGCGTAGCGTATGCAACGGCGTCAGGCGTCTTCAGTTCTATGAGTTTAGATCGTAGGTTATTACTACCTATGTAAACAAAGAGAGCGTATCGTTCACTAACCTGGAGACTGGGGTGGACGCCGAGTTGCAGCAGTGTCCTGACGACGCCCAAGTGACCTTTGTTCACAGCAATATGCAACGGCGTCTGGCGGCTTCGGTTCCTTGCGTTCAGATCAGCGCCGGCAGCAGCAAGAGCCCGTAAAGCAGCCGGTTCGTCGCCGAAAGCTGCGTGATGAACGGCGCGATCGCCGTCGCGGTCTTCGGCGTCTACTTCCGCACCCATTTCTACGAGCATGCGGATCACTTCAACGTGCCCGTTTTGTGCAGCCGCCTAACAATTAAAACGATAGAATTACAAATACGAAGAAAATGTTACTAGAAAAGATTGGACTTGGCCACGAATCAGCCAGGCAGCATTCAGCCTCATTTTTTTTCTTATAATAACATCTTCATACATATGCTTAAAATAAAGATTATAAAAACGAGTAAATTTAACCACTAGTATTCATTCAATAAGTACTACACACACAATGAATAAATAAAACTGAAAGGACAATGGGCAAAATACACCCAGCTCTGCCAACAATGTAATTAGTATAATTCGAAAGATCTATAAAAAAATTGCCTTTTTTATTATGACACCGTAAAAAAAACATCCTGGAGGTGGAAAGATATACTCATGGGCATATTTAAGAAGCTAAATAATTCATTTAATAGTGCCTTAATTTTGTATTATTAGTAGCCAAAATAATGTGTCATATGCCACAAAGCCTTAATTCGTGATGCTACAAATGCTACAAAGTACGCTAACGCTAAGCGAAACGCCTCAAAACGGTTTACGGGGTAGGGGTACGAACATTGAAGAACTTGCAGTTGCAGTTACAACTAGTCGATTCATATGCAGTCCTTTTTCTTACTTCGAACTGATTGTTTGATTGATTTATTATTTTTACTCTGGGCACATAACCAGTTGAAGTTAGCTAAAAGTAAAAGCTTTTAGTTAATTTAAAGGTGAGCACGGGGAGAGACGGACTTCAGCATATGCCTATACCAAGAATCGGAACTACTCGTTGCGTAGCTTAGCAACGTTGGTATTTATGGGTCAGCTTTGTGGCTTTTGCGGGCAAAAATACACTCACACAGATATAAAGTTTCACATAAAAAGTATAAATAAGTAGCGGCAATCTTCTTATAATAAACTTGCGCAGTAGAGGTTTTTATGTATAAAGTTGCAGGCTTCTTTGTCTATGTCTTTGGCACAAGACGTTTGTTGGGTTTTTTGGCGCCCTCAGTACGCGCGAGTATTTCCGCGCAACGAACCGCCATTGATCGCCGCCTTCACTAGCTCCTCGTTAGCGTTCCCGGTCACGTTAGACTCAAAACTAAAAGTACTTAATAAAAAAAAGTACCTGTAACGCGATTTATCCGCCGTATACATTGGCGTGCGCGCCCTCAGTACGCGCGAGTATTTCCGCTCAACGAGTCGCGTCGCCATTGTTCGCCACCTTCACTAGCTCCTCGTTAGCGTCCCCAGTCACGTGAGACTCAAAACCAAAGTCAACGGGAGGTCGCTAGTAAACAATAGTACCTACCTGTCACACGGTGAGACCCCTGTATACATTGGCGTGCGAGCCCTCAGTACACGCGAGCATTTCCGCACAGCGAGCCGCGTTGCCATTGGTCACGGCCTTCATTGACTCCTCATAAGCGTCCCCAGTCACGTGAGACTGCAAACTTAAGTCAATGCGGACAAAGTCGCGGGCGGAAGATAATAAACAATAGTACCTGTAACGCGGTCTGTCCCCCGTATACGTTGGCGTGCGTGCCCTCAGTACGCGCGAGTATTTCCGCTCAACGAGTCGCGTCGCCATTGTTCGCCACCTTCACTAGCTCCTCGTTAGCGTCCCCAGTCACGTGAGACTCAAAACCAAAGTCAACGGGAGGTCGCTAGTAAACAATAGTACCTACCTGTCACACGGTGAGACCCCTGTATACATTGGCGTGCGAGCCCTCAGTACACGCGAGCATTTCCGCACAGCGAGCCGCGTTGCCATTGGTCACGGCCTTCATTGACTCCTCATAAGCGTCCCCAGTCACGTGAGACTGCAAACTTAAGTCAATGCGGACAAAGTCGCGGGCGGAAGATAATAAACAATAGTACCTGTAACGCGGTCTGTCCCCCGTATACATTGGCGTGCGCGCCCTCAGTACGCGCGAGTATTTCCGCTCAACGAGTCGCGTCGCCATTGTTCGCCACCTTCACTAGCTCCTCGTTAGCGTCCCCAGTCACGTGAGACTCAAAACCAAAGTCAACGGGAGGTCGCTAGTAAACAATAGTACCTACCTGTCACACGGTGAGACCCCTGTATACATTGGCGTGCGAGCCCTCAGTACACGCGAGCATTTCCGCACAGCGAGCCGCGTTGCCATTGGTCACGGCCTTCATTGACTCCTCATAAGCGTCCCCAGTCACGTGAGACTGCAAACTTAAGTCAATGCGGACAAAGTCGCGGGCGGAAGATAATAAACAATAGTACCTGTAACGCGGTCTGTCCCCCGTATACATTGGCGTGCGCGCCCTCAGTACGCGCGAGTATTTCCGCGCAGCGAGCCGCGTCGCCATTGGTCGCCGCCTTTACTAGCTCCTCGTTAGCGTCCCCAGTCACGTGAGACTCAAACAGCTTCTTCAACAGAGCTGAGAGACGCTCTCCTGTAATCAGGTAAATACGTTATTGTAGCCGCAGGTTGTCGTTTAAAGTATGGGAAGTGAACATTTTTGACGACCTCCGTGGTTTGAACTGTTGTAAACCGTAATCCTGGCACATTTCTTTTATCACGTTTTTGAATTTTAGTTTTTAATGTCTATTGTTTTTATATGTCATTGCTATTACGTCTTGTCTGTGTGTTTACATTCATTAAAGATAAAGTGCTATCTTCAAACTAATTTTTCTTTTATTAAATAAAAGGTTATGGGCAAAATCTCCATAATAGAAAATAGTTACACTGAAGATTTGAAGCAATAATGTCTGGGGACGATACAAAATCAGGTACGAGTCAATTACTCAATAATTTCGAAAAATTGAATGGACGTTCTAACTATTTAGAATGGAAGTTTTTAATGCGAAACATACTGATTCACGATAATTTGTGGCATTGTATTGTTGGTTACCCCTCTGACGATAACACTACGATTGAAACACGTAAGCGAAAAGATGAAAAAGCTTTGTCAAAAATATGTTTGAGTGTAAATCGTAATTGCTTCTCGCACTTAATGAATGCCAAGACATCTCTAGAGGCATGGGAATCCCTAGAACAGGTTTATGAGGAAAAGGGGTTAAATTGTCGTTTACGTTTATTGCGAAGTTTGTGCTCCATTAAACTGGAAAATTTCCCAGATATGGAAAGATATGTGAATGAGATAATTTCTTTATCGCAACAACTTTCAGCATTGAAAAAACCAGTAGATGATGAATTTTTAGGAGCTATAATGCTACAAGGATTGACACCTAACTTCGAACCGATGATAATGGCCTTGGAACACTCAGGAGTAGAAATAACAAGTGACCTGATTAAGACTAAACTTCTCCAAGATAAACGTTGGACCGTTGATAGTTCTACTACAACCGAGTGCTTATACACGAATAGAAATATGAACAAGCATAATCGTGTAAACACAAGTCATGACAACTGTGTTCGTAACATAAATAAGTTGAAGTCTAATGACAACCACGACACTGATATCAACAAAAGAAAACCAAAGAAGAAGCCTTGGTGTTTTAAATGTCGTGATAAGACACACTGGACTAAGGATTGTCAGAACAAGGTGTCTACTTCACATGCGAATACATCAATAGGACATTGTATACATTCAGCGTTTCACTCTCAAGAAGATGGTTGTTTCTTTTATGTTGATTCAGGAGCTACGAGCCATATGACTGGTCGACGTGAGCTACTGCAGAACTTTGATACTCGTGATAGTCATGTTACAATAGCCAATGGTGAGGTACTCAAATGTACAGGTATAGGTAATATAATGCTGTCAAACCTAATTGAACTTCAGGATGTGATGTATGTACCACAATTATCTGTTAATTTAATTTCTGTTTCTTATTTAGCTAGGAATGGTTATGAAATTAAATTTGAGATAGATACTTGTACTATCAAAGATATTAATGGTAAAATTCTTACTGTCAATGAGTTAGGTGGTGCTTATAAAATTCAAATCTGTCCAAGGGCCAATATAACTGTAAATAATAATACAATTTGGCATCAGAGACTTGGGCACATTAATCCATTTTACATGAAATTAGTAAAAAACATTATTACTGATGATATTAATTTCAGTGATAGCCCAGAGTCCAATGAATTTTGTGAAGTGTGCCTGAAAGGTAAACAAGCTCATTTTCCTTTTCCACGCAAGCCCAAAACTTCGGTTGCATCACACAGACTAGAATTGGTCCATACAGACTTATGTGGGCCAATGCCAGTCAACTCTTTAGGAGGTAAGAGATACATCTTAACATTTCTTGATGACCACACTAGAAAAGTCTTTGTTTATTGCTTACAAAGAAAAAGTCAGGTAAGTGAAACTATTAAAAATTTTATTAGATTAGTTGAAACACAGACTGGAGACAAAATAAAAATTCTTAGGTCAGATAACGGCGGAGAGTATGTAAACCGAGACTTGAATGATTATTTCAAATCTAAAGGGATAGATCACCAGGTTACCATACCTTACTGTCCATCACAAAATGGATCTGCTGAGCGATTAAATCGCACATTATTAGAAAAGGTTCGTTGCCTTTTATATACAGCTAAACTTGACCATAAATTTTGGGCAGAAGCTGTAATGACAGCTGCTTATTTGATTAATATGACACCATCAAAAAGATTATCGGGTAATATTCCTGAAAAAATCTGGACTGGTAAATCTGTCAGCATAAAACATTTACGCGTGTTTGGTTGTGAAGCGCACGTACATATTGAAAAATGTAAACGCAACAAACTACAACCAAAAAGTAAAAGATGTATTTTACTTGGATTCGAAACTCATGGATACAGGTTATATGATATTCAAAACAAGAGTATTATACGTAGCCGAGATGTGATATTTAATGAGTCGTCATTCCCAGGTACATTAACACCTGAAAAAGCAAAAATTATACCATTGTATTTTCCAGGTTACTATGATAATTATGATGAGGACAACGATGACCAATCAGAGCTGTCAACTCAAATTGGTGAGACCTCAGAAATATCTAATGGAGGCGGAGTAATACGTAATTGTGAGTCTACGATGGATACAAGATCTAATCCCAACATTACGTCAAC